ATATTTTCATGTTTGCACAATATGTAGGTGTCACTCTGTTAGTTCCTAGAATTCTCTCAGAGGAAACTGCTCTCAGTGTAGCTGCAGAGACTTTAAATGTTGCTTCAGGTCAAAGGAATCCCATACCTTAGCTAGATGCACCATGTGAAAGGAATGTTCAGTGACCTAGAAAATAAACAGCATCATAGTAAAGTTATAATTTTAAAGAATGGCCTAAACATTGTATAGTCTGCATGGACAAAGTCTGAAAAGTTATATCCTATTTTCTTTTACCTGTAAAAGCACCATCTCAATAAAACCCTTTAGGACAATGCTTTTTTTTGGAAAGTACTGTACAGTTTGATTTTGGAAAGTTTTAGTTATTCTTTTTAAAGAAAGAAAAAACAAATAATAAGTTTAAAATAGAAGAGACAAAAAAAGGTATGAGTATGCAATTTTAACAAAATATCCAGGAAACATTTGATCATCTACATTTCATTTTTTTGAGAAGAGTACACTGAACAAGGAGGAATTACATCAGTATCGAAAATAATGAAATTATAAATATTGGCAAGGATTAGGATGTAGGGCATATGGCTATAGGGTTAAGCCTCAGACTGACGTGTTGGCAAAGCCACAAATAAGTCCCAGCTTTGAGGGCACAGCCCTCTTAGCATAATTAGGCTTGACCTTATGACCTCCCTAGATCTTATCTGGGAAGCTAATGGGCTGTGGGAGGTGCAGCAAGTGCTGCCAAAACAAGTAAAACTCACAAGAACATTGTAACTATGGTGACCACTACCTTGTTTACCTCTGGCTATAAAATAAAGGCTCAGCTTGCCTCTGATCTCTGTGGCCTCAGCCAGGCACAGGAAGATCCACCTAGGGGTGGGCAAACTTTTTGACTCGAGGACCACAATGGGTTCTTAAACTGGACCAGAGGGCCGGAACAAAGCATGGATGGAGTGTTTGTGTGAACTAATATAAATTCAAAGTAAACATCATTACATAAAAGAGTACGGTCTTTTTTTTCAATAGTTTTATTCATTTCAAACGGGCCGGATCCAGCCCGTGGGCCGTAGTTTGCCCACGGCTGAGACCCAGCTTATTCTCTTTGTCATTTCTTTATCCTTCGCTGCCCCCGCTCAGGCTTGCAGAACCCTTGGCTGAGCTGGCTCAGCACATTAGGGATCACATGTCAAAATTATTTTCAAACAAAAACTGACTTCAATAGAGACTTAAATAGGTAAAAATGAGCTATTCAAGAGGGTGTCAGCCCTGTTGTACCTTCTCACTGTAATTAATGTGCTCAGTGGAGAACTTGGTAAGGTGATAATGGAGTCCCTCACAGCAAATCACACATAGCACTTTCTAATGAGACATTAATTTTACAATATGATTTCAGGTGTCATATGTAAATAAGGCCATAAATATGGTCAA